CCCACTTTGATGCATTTTTCAAATTTCGCCTTGGGGCGGAGTTATCTTTTCACAGGGGGGTAAGTTACACTTTAAATCAAAGCCACCATAAATCTTAAATTCTACACAAAAATCAATGAATAGGTTTATATTGCATAATGAAAAATAAATGGTAAATGGACTGTACTTATATAGTGCCTTTCTATCCAACCAGGATGCTCAAAGTGCTTTACTCTCTTGTCTTCATTTACCCATTCACACAGCACTCCAGTCTCTAGAAAACTAATACAAGTAAATCAATCTATAGAGTCTAATCAGTGCTTTAAATCACATTTATACACTGATGGGACACATCAGAGGCAGTGGCGGTTCGGTGTCTTGCCCAGTGACACTTTGACATGTGATCCAATAGTAATGGAATTGAAACGCCAACTCTCACATTAGAGGAGCGACTACCCTAACCACTCAGCCACAGCCGCCCCACTCACAAAATTACACAACATTTACAGAGTGTAATGTTTATAATATTGTAAAGTCTTACCTCCATTCCCTCCTCTATTCCATTTGTGATGAGGTCATCTAACAGCTTCTTTTGTTCACACTGGTAACAAAAACACAGAATAACATTACTAACTAATAAGATGACCTATATTTTCTCTACCAATATTTTACTAATATTTTATATTTTCTCTTATTACTAACTAATAAGAAGACCTATATTTTCTCTATCATGCACATTAAAAATTTAAAAACAAAATGAGCTCAGTATAAATGCTTTTTCTTTTTAAAATGGAACCCAAAACACAAATAATTTGGGGGAAAAAACTATTTCCAGAAGTGACCTAAAAAAAAACTCAACAGTTAAACTCGACTTCCTGTCCATTTGTTTAATATGAGTTTGCATTAACTTTCTCTCACCTTGAGTTCTGTTTTACTTTTTCTTGAGCTTCTTCTAATTGGAAAGAAGTCAGTAACTTTTCTGTTCTGAGCGTTTTTTCCTTTTGCCCTGTGACAGGAAAAAAATACAAACTATCACACTGTTTGGACATGCTCAGTATTAAACCAAGGTTTGCTGCAATACACAAAAAATAACATTACATTTGGTGCCTGAATTAAGACCTCATTTCTCCTTACACAAATAAGAAACTGAATTGAGCAAAATAAACACCTCAAATGTTCCCCAAATAAAAAACCTTAGAGCATACAGATGTTTCCGCTGTATTAGTTGTGTTTTTACACCATTTATATGTCTTCATGATTAAATCACAGAGCTCAAACTGTGTTTAAAAGTGTGTGTTAAGATGCCAAATGATTGGATCTGCAACAATTGATTTGTTGGTAAGTTACTCACTGACACCTAATCAATCTATGGTTTGTTGCGCAATTCACTGTTTATTTTTACCTTTTGTGTTGTAATAACTACATTTTTTCTCTTCAAATTTGTAAATTTACTCCATTTTATTGTAGTCTGTTAAGCAGAGGTTTGAACCCTGTTTAATTATGATTTATATATTTAAAAAAGTGGATTAATCAGTAGACAATACCTTAAATATGAGTTTAAACTTGAGTGAATGAATGAACTGCTATATTCCCCTTGACCAAAATTAGTTTTGGGGAAAGTAGGGAAAGTAATTTAAAAAACATTGACTTAAAGAGATTTAACTGAATGGTACTGATGGAATACATGCTGTATCACACGTCTTTCATGCCAGATTTTAATTAGATCTTATGGTCAAAATGACAAAGTTCTAGATGTTTGGTTGTGTTGTGTGATCTCACAAAACTGTACAATCTGCATTTTGGCAATGGACAATAAAGAGTGTTTTTGGTTGCATATATGTCTGATATGATGACCAATGAAGAACGCTAATTTGACTTTTCCCTATCTCTTTGTTTGTGTCTGCTTGAGTCTAAACAACACCACACTGAAACTGCTTCAGATTTGCTGATTTCTGTCAGGTCACAAACCCACACAAAATAATAAGGCTCCCTGAAAAATGACTAAATGTTTCACAAATTTGCTTAGTTGTTTCAAAATTGTATGGAGGTAATTTTTTTATTATTATTCAAACAAAAAAAGCAGTTACAATCAAAAAATTTTATAAAATTTTTTTTAATAAAAAACTATTTCAACAAATGAAAAAAAAGTTATCCCAACCAAAAAGATTTTTTTCAACCAAACAAAAAGCTATTTTAAACAAAAAAATCATAATTTCAACCAAACAAAAAAGCAATATTAATGAAATATTTTCTATCAAAACGTTTTTTGTAAAGCAAACTTTTTTTTTCACATCAGAAAATCTGATTGAATCTCTTGGTTGACACTAAGTTTTTGGTTGAACTCAAAAAAGTTTTGAACACAGAGAACATGAACAAACAGGGTGGGGCCTAAGGAGGAGCTACGTAAGACGTCCCTTTTGGTTATTGTTGACTGAAGTGATTTCTTGGTGCAGCTGTCAAATAAACTGAACTAAAAACACGAGAGTTTCAGGAAATGTCAGACACATCACAGAGATCAGCTGATTAAAGTTGGATCATGTCTGAAGAGACCCAGAAAACTCAGCTGTCTGTCTGTTAGCAATGTCTGGGGCGCCCACCGGCTACAGCCTGGATCTCCATGCTGCAGATCGAGTGCTTTACCCTGGGTAAAGTTGGACCAGTCTAGCCGCGCCGACCACTTGAGCTCCGTGTCACTGGGGAGGAGCCAAACCCACTGCGTCTCAAGCACACTGATGATTAAGTGTCTTACAACCAACTAGGAGGTAGAGAAGRGACAGTCTGGACACATTGTATGGGACTGATAACCGCTAATAATGGTCATTTAATGTATTGACAACATTCAAAGCAGGTGCACCAGGAAATCACTTCAGTCCACTCTAACCAATAGGGACACGGCTTACAGTAGTTTCTACTTAGGCCTCGTTTGGAGTTCCAAACCTTTTCAACCAAAAACTTAGAGCATCAACCAAAAATTTGAGATTCAACCAAAGAATTCTGACATGCGGAAAACAAAGTTTTGGTTTTGCAAAGAACTTTTTGACTGATTTTTTTCTATTCAAATTGCTTTTTTGTTTGGTTGAAAATATATTTTTTGGTTGAAATACAGTGGCTCAGTTAGTAGAGCTGATGCCTCTCAGCAAGAAGGTCACCGAATCAAATCCCAGCCTGGGGACCTTTCTGGGTAGAGTTCGCATGTTCTCTCTGTGCATGCGTGGGTTCTCTCCGGGCACTCTGGCTTCCTCCCACAGACCAAAAACATGACTGGTAACTCTAAATTGTCCCTAGATCTGAGAAAGCGAGGGAATGGTTGTTTATCTTGTTTGTCTCTATGTGTGGCCCTGTGATGGACTTGCGACCTGTCCAGGGTGTACCCCGCCCCTCGAACAATGACTGCTGGATATGGGCACCAGTGACCCCTGTGACCCTGAAAGGAAGAAGTGGGTATACTGGGGTTAGACAATGAAACTGAAACACCTGATTTTAGACCATCACATCCCTTTCAGACAGCTTCCTCTTGTGTCAACAGTTAATCCTGTTGGATGTGGTTGGTCCTTCTTGGTGGTATGCTGACATTACCATGGATACTGTCGCTCTTGATACATCACAAAGACTTGCTGTCTTGGTCACAGATGCACCAGCAAGATGTGCACCAACAATTTGTCCTCTTTTGAACTCTGGTATGTCACCCATAATGTTGTGTGCATTGCCATATTTTGAGCAAAGCTGTGCACTACCGTGCTAATTGAACCTTCACACTCCGCTCTTATTGGTGCAATGTGTAAGCACCCCTTCCCCCACTACTGAACTTCTCTGGTATTTTCATGTACCCTAGGGTCCACTCTTTCAGAAAATGCATRTTAACAGAAAAAAAGTTGGGTCTCACTGCCCCCCAGGGACCCCTTTTTGGCCACACCCCTTTTCTATTGTGACCATCAAAATTAGGGGTACAGAAAACTTAATTGCCAATAACTTTGGTATCAACCAACCAAAGGTTGAAAACAAGGTATCAGCAGATTTGTATTTATTAGCTCTTCGATGTACATGACATTTCATTAAGCAAATATCTGCATGATGATGTCATCGGGTGGGGGG